ACCGCGGGGAGCGCCCGGCCGGCAGGCGGCGCGGGGCACGCCGGGAGTTGTAGTAGCTCGGGGGGAGCGGCCCCGTTTCCCACGGTGCAGCGCGCGGCGGCGGCGGCGGGCGGGCCGCGGGAACGGGCGAGCGTCGTCCCGGAAGTTCCGGTTCCCTCCTCGGGCCCGGGGCGGCGGCGAGGTGAGGCCTGGGGGGGGCTGCGGGGCCTGGGCCTGGGCCTGGGTCGGGACCGGGACCGGGGCCGGGGCCTGGGCCTGCACGCTGCTCCCCGCGCCCCGGTGTGCGGGTGGGAACCACGGAGCCCCGGGGACCGGCGGAAGGGATTGGGGGCCGGGGGGCTCCGTCCCCGTTCGGGAGGACGGGGCTCCGAGCAGCGACTCTTGGTTCCGGGGGGCCCGGCTGGAATCAGGAATGACCCCTGATCCCGTCGCCAGTCGCTCCCGGGCTAATACGGATCTTGCTGTCCACGGGCTAATACAGGATGTATTAGCCCCCCTGTCCGGCATTGCCAGGCACGGCTTTGCTGCCGCCGGCCTCCCGAGGCTCGCCCCTCGGCTTTGCAGGGAGAGGAGGTGGGAGAGATTCCGGCCATCCGGAATCCCGCGTTGGTGCCCGTGCTCGCGGCGCCGCTGGAGCGGGACCCGCCGCCGCCACCGTTTCCTGGCAGGACCCGCTCCGGTGTCTAGCTACCCGCCGAGGGCAAAGTCAGCCTCGTAAAGCAGCGACGACTTCCTTAAAGAGCAGGCAGCTTCGGCCACAAAGGGAGAAATCGTGTGGATTGAGCATTAATTGCCAGCTGTTGTTGGGTGCCGGTCCCCGCCGGTTGTGCGGTAGGCGGCGCGGGGTGTTGGGGGTCTTGGCGCTTTTCTCGGCGTGGGTATTTTTCTTGGCTTATTCCCCTTGGTGCTTGTTCAGCAGGTTTTGCCGTCTTCGTAGCGGGGATTCATCCGTTTCTGGAAGCCTCCCAGAAGGAAGGAAAATGTGGGGAGACCATCGGCAAGGCAACAGAATGGGGTCCTATCGGTAAGCGTTCGGGTGGACACTTTGCTTCAGGAACGTTCTCAGACACAATCAGTAACAGGAAACGTCTCCTAAAATATCTGCCCATCTTCCTGTGGGCGGACTGTTCTCTTTTTGTTGTTTTTGTTTCGTTTTTAGCTACTTTTAGCGTTTCTGTGCTTTCTCCACAGCCCTTTTCTGGGGGGATACTTAGCTTGGCTGTTACAGGCCAAGGCGCTGACGTGCCCGGGCTTTTGGTTCAGGCGCTTTAAGACCTACAAGAAATGCCTAATACCCTGATGTTGATTCTCTTCAACCACGATGATTGCTTTAATTCAGATTTAATGGAGAGTTAGACCATTAGACCCCAATGTTCTTAGCTGGGCTCTTTCAAAAAACACTTGTGAGTGTCACTAGAACTGTTCTAAAGATTTATATCATATATATATAAATATATATAGGTTATATATGCACATGTGTTTATATATATACATATATGCAGCATTTTCCTGATGGGATTTGTACTAGGAAAACCAGTAGCCTCCAGAACTTGTCTCAACAGTACTGATGAGAGGGACCCCTGTTTGTGGCAGTGCCAGTAACGCTGCTCTGCTGTTACTTCAATGGGTTTTACTGGCAGCATTCTTCTACTCTGCTGGGTGGACAATCCTCTCCTCGAACTAGGTTTTAATCACTGTTTTTTTTTTTTGTATAGTGCTGAAACAGGGGCATTTCAGGGCAATAAATCTGGAGGCAGTTTGGTTAGCATTGCAAATGTCACCTTGCATTTTGCCAGTGAGCAGTCTGTGTAGTGAAACCCAAGAACTAGACTCGCTGCAGTTGCTGACAAAACCCTTCCTGGCTAGAGTTGATTTTAAGCTTATTCTGAAAGGTGTTGAGATGTTATTACTCCATAATTCCTTTTTTTTTTTCAATAAATGTATTGGGGTCGTACTTGACTGCAGAATAATTCCCTGGGTTCTGAGAAACTGTCCTAGGAGGAAGCTCCCCTGGAGTTTGCTGTGGGAGCTCGTACTCGAAGAGGCGCCGAGCGGGACGCCGGTGTGGGGCAGCCAGGCTGCAGGCCCAGGCAGGGGCTCACCTCCAACTCGGGTGGTTGCCCATTCCTGTGAGGCATCCCCCACATCAGAAATGATGGTTCTCCAAGCCTAGACCTTGAAGACCTCCATTCCAGCGCCAGGGCATCCCTATGAGCCTGTGTAGTGTGCTGGTAGAGCAGTGTGGTTTCCCGTGCTTCACGGCGACGTGCTGAGCCCGTGGTACCACCAAAACTCCAACATAAACCCGAGCAGTTCCCTCCAGGCTTGTGCTGGTGGTGCTAATAACCCCCAAAGCCCAGTGGGTGGAACCGTGCGCAGTGCAGGACTATGTGGATTGCTACCATCATTAACCCATTAATGTTGCAGGTTTTCCCTGTTGAGTGCTTCTGGAAATTGTGCTGAAATGGGAGCACCCAAGTTTACTTTCTCACATCTGTCGTTTGCTGCCTCATCTTAAACTGCCCAACATCAATATCTTCTGCGGACCTTAGACTGTTACCCAGCTCTATAAAAAGTTTAGAGAAGATTGTGCTGCTGTGTAGATTGCAGACTCTAAGCACGTTATGAATAATACTGTCTTTATTTCTACAGTGGGAGCCAAGAAGAAAGGTTTGCTCCCGGGTGGAACAGGGAATATCCTCCTTCCCTTGATAGCCTTGCTCAAGAAAGACACTCTGGCAACTTCTCTGGCAGAGAATCACTTCCTTTTGATATCCAGGCACTCGCAGGCCTCCTCAATCCTCAGTTTGCCAACAGAGAGGAACCTTCTTTCAGCTTTGGAGCTAGAGATGGACCGCGTAGTGACTTCCGAGGCGGGGAGGGGCCCCATGATTTCAGGGGCAGAGATTACCCCCCTCCCGACTTCCAGAACAGAGAGGAGTCGCAGGTGGATTTCAGAGGGAGGGAGCCACCCTCGTCCGAGTTCAGGGGCAGGGACATGTACTCTGGGGACTACCGGGAAAGGGAAGGGCCCCCCATGGACTTCAGGGGTGGGGACGCCCCTCCCGTGGACTATAGGAACAGGGAGACGTTCCGTGGGAACTACAGGGACAGGGAAGCGCATAACATGGATTACAGGGGCAGGGACGAGCCCCCCTCAGACTTCAGGGGTAGAGGCTCGTTTGACCTGGACTTCAGAGGCCGAGACGGTTCCCATTCGGACTTTAGGGCCAGGGACGTGTCCGAGTTGGACTACAGGGGCAGAGAGCACACGTACTCCGACTTCAGAAGTAGGGACGTGCCCGATTTGGACTTTAGGGGCGTGGGTTCCTCTGATCTGGACTTCAGAAACAGGAACGCACCGTCGTCGGACTTCAGAAACAGGAACAGGGCCCGCTCCGATCAGGATTTTAGGAGCAGAGACGTGGCTCCTCCTATGGACTTTTCAGAGAGGGAGATGCCTCCCGTGGATCAAAACCTGGTAGATTTGAGGCGCAACCAATCTGCTCTACCTTTAGTGGAAAGAGAGGGCTCTGGTTTAAGCACCAGCAAGGGAGAGGACCCCGCGCTTTGTCTAGATAGAGCGCCCTTTGGTAGCCAAAAAGGAGAATTTCAACACTCGGAGACGCCAGCCAGAGAAGAGGAATCCCTTGGAATGGCCCTTGAAGACGACGCTTCCCACAATTTCCAGAACAGCCGCGGGCCTCGTGCTACTCTCCCAGACCAAGAGGAGCAGCAAGCTCAGAGCTTTGCTAACAAGCAGCAGCAGCAGCAGCTTGCTGGCGGGGAGCAGCAAAGACCCGACTCTGATCTCGGGTTAAAGGGCGAAGGTGACCTGGATTTCCTTGGAAGGCAAGACACGGACTACCGAAACATGGAGTATCGCGACGTGGATCACCGGCTGCCGGGACACCAGATGTTCGATTACGAACACGGCAAGTCCTTCTCAGAAGGAAAACCCAGCAAAGATTCTAGGCTCTGTAAGAGCCTTCAGGTAGGTGCCTTTGTCAGTCCCTCTTTCTGTTAAACACGTT